TAGTGAATTTTAATGACTTAGAAGACGGGAAGTTTCATATAGCAAGAATTATTCATCTTTGTTATCGACTTTATAGGACTAATGCGAGCCACATTAGCCACGTTTCATAATCGTCGAAGAGAATATTTTCGTGAAGAAAATCTAACAAGCTTTTTTCACATCATACCGCAAAGAAGCATTAAAGGCATCTCAAAATACATTTTAATACGGAAAATATTATTTTTATTAACTTTTCTTTTCTCATAACTGACACGCTGGTTAGATGACAAAACCATAATATTGTCTATAATTAAAAAAACCTTAAATATTAACATGCACATAAATGGTAAAAAAATAAAAAAGTTTTAGAAATGGCTTATTCTAATGTGTCGGGGGTTTTAGTCTATCTAAAATAAATTTCATTTAAAATACATTATTTTCTCAATTGTTATAGAACTTTTAAATTTAATTTTCACCATTTCTAAAAGTAGATATATCTGTTTTGAAGAAGTCATTATAAGTAAATGGTATAATTTAATATAATAAAGTTTATCTATTGTACGAAAGAAAAAAAAAATGATAAAAATATATTATATATATATATCTCTTTGAGTTGTTCTGTGTAAAGGATTATAAGCCGTCGGCTTTAGCGAGAATACCGACCGTCAACCTCAACAGATCTCAGCTTACATCTCTAGCCCTATAGAAATAATATGACTGAACAAAAAACTAATGAAATTTATACTAAATTAAGTGTCATAGTGTGATCATAAATATGATAAAAAAAACAAATATATTGGAAGATAACTCGCTGTATTTTATCAGAGAAAGAAAATATAATAAAGATTGTCAAACAACGACGGTGTGAAATACCTGCATTCACGAGCAAAGGAAAAGAAAAAAAAAATAGACAAACTTATAATTTATTATTCCTTCTCAAGTAATATTTTAATATAAATATGTCATAAAATAGTTTTGTATATTTACATTCCGCATAGAAATAAAATTCAATGGAAAATCCTCTTATTTCCAACATGTGAAATATGTAGATTTTTATCAATCAATTTATATATTTGATTAGATTTTCATGAGATATATAATGATAATATTTATAGTTATAGCTTTGAAAATTCTATTACGTGTATCACCTTGAATTATGCACTATGTTTGAAAAAGATGAAAAACAAAAGATTGTTTAGCTTTTAAAAAGAGAAAAGGAGAAAAAGAAAAAAAGAAAACAAAGACAAAGTAAAAATAAATTGATCAAACATTTTTTTTCAAATTTTCGTTTAAGGCTAAACAATTGAAACAACTGTGTAAAAATATGTCCAGAATACAAACCAGCAATTCGTGAACTATATCAACATTTTGGCTATGTTTTAGAAAAAAGGTAAAGTTTTCTGATTTTCTCTATTTTACATAAAAATCTGTGATAATTACAATACATTTTGTCATATTTTTATATAATCCTATAAGCAAGGTAAAGAATAAATTAACTGATTTTGTTCTTCGATAAACTATTAAAATAGCTCGATTATATTCAATTTTGGATGAATTACTATTTGAATAATCTATTAGTAAGATTTTGTTAAACAAAAAACTATCAGTAGGTAGCTAATAGATTACGAAATCATAAATTTATTTAGATGAATACACTGGTTTATTTTTGCAATAATCTCGTCTTAGAAGCATCCGAATTGAAATTTTTATTAGTTTACATCAAGACAATTGAGAGTGCAGTGGTTTTCACTGTTGAAAAGAAGCGATGTCGAAACTTATATCAAAAGACGTTTTTAAGGCTGTTATATAAAGGTCCTAGGCCCGCCAGAGAAATTTTTTCAGATAAGTTTCGATGCATCTTCATCATCTCTTTTCAACGGTAAAAACTGTAGCTCTCCATCTTTTTCATATCTAAGTAAGCTGCAATAAATCTTAGTGAAGATTTGGATTCGAATTTGAGTATGGATATCAGATATCCCGAGGATAAGTGACTCTGATAATAGGTGAGTGAAAACGCCTGAACCATTTTGATGGTGTAGGTGAAGGGACGGGTTACGTCGAAGATGTGGATGAAGGTATAGGCAACGTTAAAGGTGCCGGTAAGAGTGTGGGTAAGGGTATTTTCCTCTTTATCGTTCATTCACATCCACACGCACACTCATTCACACTTTCTAGCTGATTCAGACAAATTTACGCATCTAATATCAGAGTTGAGTGCAGTTCAGACATCTGATATCCAAACCCAAATCTAAGGCTTTGGATTTGTTGCACCCCGAATAGAGTCTAATCTATAAAAAGTAACTATTCGATGGCTTATTTATCTGTGTTTACTTAATCGATTTTGAGAATAAAATAAAATAAAATTTTAAATGGTTCAACTTTCCGCGTTTATGAGAGTTGTTACACTTCTGCAGTCAGCCGCCTTTCTTCTACTTGAACTTGCTTCAAGTGGAGATCTAGTTTTCTTTGTTCCTTAATAAACAAATTCTAATTTACACTTTTTTACTTACATTAGGTTATTATCAAATATGTCAAATGAAAATAAAGCAAAATCCTGGATTTATCCATCCATTCGAACTATATCTATTATTTTTCTTACAATTATCATAGTTGTTATTATTCAAAATATTATAATCAATGTAAAAACAGATAAATTACTACTTTCAAATAAAATGAATATTAAAGATGATAAATTTATTGATGACACAATAGCATTAAGATCAGCGATAAAACAAATGAATAAACAAAGAATATCTAGAACAAATTCAACATTTAATTATCAAAATAAAACATTCGAAACAATTATTCAATGTGTAGGTCCATTATACAATCAATCATGTTTATATAAAAATTTATATTATGTCAACAAGACATTTATGATTCTTGCAGTCAAAGGAAGACAATTACCAAATTATTCTGTACGAACAAATGCTTTTAGTCTCTATGATAAAACAATAAAGAAACGTGAATTTAAATCTTATCCTGATTTAGAAAAATTTGTTTTAAATCTTATTGATTTAAAACGAGTTCCATCTGTAACTTTATATTTTGGACAATTATGGCATCAGAATATTGGTCATGCACTTTTCGATGGACTCTATCCAGCCTATGTTGCACTTATAAGATTTTCTCCTAGACATCTTCAACCATTTCGAATTCTTACAGAAATAAGAAATTGTAAAGATTGTTGGAGTGAAGATGTTTATAGTCGTTTTTCAGGTTTAGGAATTATGAAAATAGCAGTTTTAGATGAAATGTCAAAACAAAAATGGTTTCTATTCGATGAAATTATAATGGGTAGTGGAAAATTATGTCAACGTTGTGTACAATCAAATTTACAATTACCTGGTGGTGTTGAATTAGATGCATCAAGACTTTTTCGTGATAGAATGTATCAACAACATGGTCTTATTCAATCAACTATTCGAAAAAATTCTTCATCTGAACATCGAAAATCTTCTGATATTCTTCAAGCATATATTATTCATAATAAACGTTTTACAACTAATGATCGAATAGAAATTAATGATACAATGAATGAACTAAATAATTATACGAATTTTTATTTAAATAAAACTATTAAGAAAAGAAAATGGCCATTAATTCATGTTACATATCTTCATTATAATAAAATACAAGGTCAAGATCCAAACTCATTTCGAATCAATGCAACACCAATTGATTCTCGATCACCAATATATGAATTAATTGATAATAATTTTATGACTCAATTACGTACAGTACGTCAAATGGATATTCATATAACTGGACCAGGTACAGGTCAAATGTATCAGACATTTCTATCCGATGGATCCGTTACAATTAATGTTGGAGGATTAAAATCAAAAAATAAATTTACTTCATATATGGAACAACATATGACTAGTGGGACACCGTATATTAAAGGTCTTTATTATCCAATTAATAAACGATCAAAAGGAATAAAAAAAGATGAATTAATAAAATTAATTCGACAAGCAGGACAACTTATTTTACAAGGTTTTTCATTACCAGTTAATCCTCGAGAAAATCTAGCACTTGATGGACAATTATTTGTTGAAATGTGTGAAAAAGATAAGAAATTTTGTTCGTTAGTAACAGATAGATCACCGAATAATACTTTTGCATGTGTTGATTTTTGGCCAGAAGATTTTGTACATGAACATAATCAATGGAAAAAAGGAGGTTATATTCGTAATGGTCGACGTGTTACTTGTCCATTTAATCGTTCATTATTTTATGAATTAAGAGAAAAATATGGAATTAAATACAAAGATCCAGTTGATTAGTTTTGTTAATAAAAATTTTTTTACTCGAATCTTATTTATTCTCATTTGAAATTCATATATGAATACACTATATAATATATGTTTCTCTATATAAAATGTACTGTTAAGAAAAAAAAATAATAACTAACCTGTTTTTATAGATTTTGATTTTAAAGCAGCATCAAAGAAATCATTTTTGATATTTATAAATGTTGATGGGAATATGCTCGAAGAATAGTGACATATACGAATTGCTATTCATTAATAAATACTTATTGTGTATGACTTGCTTTTATTCTCGTACGTATTATATATATATATAAGTATTTTAAGTGTATACTGATTGTGTGCATAGAGTTAAGAATGGAAGCATATAGAAGAAATAACCTTCACGATTCTATTTATATGAAATGATGATATATACTTCTCGTTTTATATGTTAGTTAATGCAATAACTGTGATTGTATATACACATTTTTTTACTCACCTGATGATTTATGAATAAGTGTAGGAAGGAAGAAAAAAAGCAAGTTCATGCATATGAAAGGAAAACAGAAAGTAATAGTACATTATTTTGAAATAAATATCATAATACAATGAATCTGAAGCAGTAATCATAAAAAATTGGTCTCTTTTATTTCTTGACAGATAAATTACACATTAATAATGTTTGCTATCCAGCATTAGTTTCGGCACCAAAAGAATTCCATTCAATAATTGGAAAACATTCCAATCTGACAGAATATATTGTTTATCGTTATGGTCAAGCTCTACCGTATTTAAAAATAATATATGAATGTTGATTGTTGTTCATTTCATAAAATTTTGGTCAACAAAACTATTAGAATAACTAAACAAGAATTATTATAAGAATGATTATTTTTTTTCTATGCAAAAAAAAATAAATACACATTAGTTACAGTATGACCTATGATATTATTATTAATTTTTTTAATTCGTAAAGTATTGCTCTGATTTAATTTAGCGTATTTAGAAATATGCTTTGACACTCAGCTTCGATTAAATAATTATTTTCGAGATTATATTATGGAAGTTTGAATATGCATAAATTTTTAGTTGTTATTGAAAACCTACCCACATTCCTCTTGTAGTGAATGTATATGCGACTGTAAATAAAAACGTACTATTTAATAATATTCCTGGCAGAATGGAATAGTTTCTGCTCGATTAAATGTCATTTTAAACTACGATGTTGTAAAATTATCAGAAAATAAATTACAAATAAAATAGAAATTGTGGCTTGTTTGACGAAAATAAACTTGAAAAATCTAGAAAAAACTCATTATGGACTGCAATTATAAAATCTTTTCAAAACTATATCTATGCTATTAAAATTTTCTGTTTCTCTCGCATGTAAACCAAAAATGATAATTTTAAATAAAAGTCTATTTATTTACTCAAATTTTACATCTTTTCAGCGTGATCAGTTTATTTATAGTGGTATTCGAATTTTTACTACATAGAATTAAACTTTCAATTTTATCTAAAACTAATCGGATGAAAATAAGAATTCTAAACTGTTATATTGTTAAGAAAAAAAAACTACGTTTTTCAATTTATATTCTCTTCAAAATTTAATATACTTTTGTAAGAGATGTTGGCGTTTTATACAAGAAAAATAATTAAAACAGCATATTATATTCTACAGAAATCATTTAACACTTGAAATATTAACCATCATAATAATTTTTTTTTCAGTAGCTCCTCTATAAAGTTATATGTCATTTCTTCAAATAGTTTTCTATACATCACCATGAGTTCTATTCGACAAATGCAGTTGTTTCTTATTTTTGGTTTCTTATTATCTTTTCATCTAACTTTACAAGATCAATCGAAGATAAAAATCAGTGCTTTAGGATATCAATTCATTCCTATAGATACTTCTCGTCCTCCTCTATTTACTTGTACGACAAAAAAGTTTATGTATTGTTCTGCTGAATGCCATAAGCGCGTCACTTGTCGAACATTTGATTTTGATGCTGATTCTTTACAATGTCGTTTATGGGAAATGGATACAACAACAGGTTCGATTGTTGCATCACCATCAAAACCACGATCATCTGTTGGTTCAATTCAACTCTCTCCTAATAACTATGTCAACATTCACAATCGGTCATGCAGTCATTGTGATCAAAGTCGTTATGAAATATGTAATGTGAACAGTTCAACTTGTCAATGTCCACCATTCACATATTGGAATAATGGAATGTGTATGACACAATTATTTCAAGGTCAAATATGTTCAAATGCATTTGCTTGCCGGACGGATCTTAATCTTTCATGTCAACCAGGTTGTGATTTTACTTATCGATGTTCTGCTTGTAAGTCATTTTTAACTATGTTTGTACTAATGATGCTATTGATCTAATATCTCAAAAACACTAAAAATTTTTTTGTAATTGTAGCTCCAACCGCAGGTATTGGTCAGACTGTTGCTGGTTTTTGCAATGGCAGTACAGATGCAGGTACACTCGGCGTGATGGGACCTTGGGGTATCTATGTTTCACCATTCGATGGAATCTTATATGTAAGCAATTATGATGTGCCACGATTTCAATCATTTTTACCATTTTCACGTATTGGATCTACGATTCTCTCTAACGGACTCAGTGCGCCTGAGGATATATTTGTTGACAGTTCACACAACATATACATGTCTGATTACACTATTAATCAAGGTATAATGTACATTCAACGACCAGGAATGAATCTCACAAGTTTTCCACCAATAGGTCGATCAAACATAAACTGTTCTCTAATAGGATTATATGAAGTTATTGGTGTAGTAGTTGATCAATCCGGTAATATTTACGCATCATTGCCTACTTGCTATGCGATCGTAAAATGGGTACCAAATAGTACGACCGGTATACTTGTTGCTGGAAACTTAGGACATAGTGGCACAAATAGTAATTCATTAGATTGGCCTCGATTTATGCATTTAGATGAAGATCGAGCAGCCTTATATGTCGCCGACAGTGATAACAATCGCATCCAGAAATTTATAATAGGTGGCAACGGAACAGGAATAACAGTAGCAGGTGGGAATGGAGCAGGATCGCATCTTAACCAATTTAGTATTCCTACAGGCGTTTGGGTCACGCGTAATGGTCAAACCCTTTATATTGCTGATAGTAACAATAACCGTGTTATGCGATGGAATATTGGAGATACACAAGGATCGGTGGTAGCCGGCAGTGCAAGTGGTATTGCGGGTAGTACCAATAAACTTCTTTCGTATCCAGGTGATGTGGCACTTGATCCTACTGAAACATATTTATATGTTTCTGACTATTATAATAACAGGGTGCAACGATTTCTTCTTCAATGATGTTTTATTAAACTAATTATTTTAATTGTAGTTATAAAAGCCTGCTTTACATAATCAATGCGCGTTTCTATCGTTTTTCTGTATGTAGTACTTTCACTTGATGTTTTCATTCGTTTTCCTTTCTTTTTCCCCAGTTTCTTTGACTTTTTAACATGTTCTCTGAACAAGTTGCTTTTTTCCCAGCCAGTTGCCTTCATATTTCAATATCGTATACACACATTATTATTAATAAACATGTATCCTTTGAACCTCATAGTTCATTTTAATTATATATCCACATCCACCCACGAAATGACAAGCACTCGTTTTGTTACAATGTATGCCTTCAATGACTAAGGAATCGACAGAATTCGTGAAGCAATACGCTACATGTCTTAGAACAATCGAACTTATTCATACTTTACTTTTATCTGTTTCCGGCCGATTATTTCATATATACCGCATCTGTACGACAAAATGTTGCCATTTGGCAACATTGGGACAGTAAGAAGTTAACAATTAAACTCTTATAATGGTAGCTATGCACGTTACTCATTATAAAAGATGGTAACTTTGCTTTAATTAATTTTCCTTTCTTCTTATTTCTAAGGATCAGAAACTAAAAGAAATCATTTAGACATTAGTTTCAGGGTTGCCGACTTGAGAGGGAACCATCGAAACGGTGTGATTGTGAGTGAAGATAGGCAGAGTGAACATTCACACCCACGACCCACATATGCTGGAACAAAAAATAATAATAAAATAGAATGTATTTTTAGTCTACGGATGACACCTGGAATACACTTTTGTTCGTATCAAATTTCATAATATACGATGGATCATGATTGAGTTCGGTATTCGATTGATATGGTCGAGTTACTCTACTTTTTGTCATTTCATCGAGTGTAGAACCAAAATCAATGTAACGATTATAAGGATTTTCGAGCCAGGCATGATGAATGAGAACTCTCGATAGTGGACCAATTGAAAATAAAAATAATCGATTTCTGTATCGCTTTGCTGTGTCCACAATTTTTCCAATTGCTTGCTCTCTAAATTGATCATTTTCCCACAACAAAGGTCCATTATTTGGATATAACAATATTTCACAAGTCCATGTATTTAGTTCAGTTAGCCTTTGCGAGCTAGTTCCATTGTTAATTATTAGAATGATCTTTTTTCGATGATCTCGAATAAGTGATTGATGTAATAATTTCGTAGAAGGATAATTAGAATTGACAAATAAATTTGTATATGTTAAATATTTTGGATGCTGATGAATCATTGAGACAAGTTCATGAAAAGGACAAATATCTTTAGCATCATAAATTCCATAATAAAATGGACTAAATGTATTATATTGATATTTCGGATAATGCAATGCTTTTCTTAAATCTTTTCCTAATCTTGATTGACCACCAGGCCACGACCATGGGTCAATAGACTTAACTGAAACTCCAAATAAAAGTTTCATTTCTCCATCTCCTAATCGAATGAATGCTAGTCCACTATTATTATTCTTTGAATCAGGATATGGCCGACTGATTAAAGCTGCCATGTTATAAAAATGATTTCGAAATGTTCCTATTGTCCAAGAACATTCAGATAACTCAATTTGATTCTCTGCACACCAAGTTAAAATAGAATCCGCACATGTTATATTTACATTTTTTCGTTGATTTATATATTTTTTGGCATACGAATGTAAAGTATTAGAACATCCATAGAAAGGAAGGATTATAAAATGATATACGATTACGATTATTATCAACAGCACCATTTGAATTTTTCTACTAAAATAAGATCTTTTGACTTCTTCAATATTTGTTTGATTTGAGTCTTGATTCATTTTTATAATATAATCGAGGAAATTTTAACTAATAACGTTTATATCTAAAATGAATACACTTTGCTTTTATACTTCAAACAAAGTTTCATAAAAAAAACAAATTGCGAAAAAAATAAGTAGATGCTTAATTCGAGAACATGAGTGTCAATTTAACTCTTTTTATTTATAAAGATGAACTAGAAGATTACTTAACTGTTGAGATTGCAAGATACTAAATGTTTGATTAGTAAAAGTTCGAATAGAAAATGACGACATTGTCATGATTACTCCTGCTCTTCTCGAATCCACAATATTATCTTGTATATAGATATTAATAATAGGAATATTTCTTAAGAATGCTGCTGATACTAATGCAAACATATTTATTGTAGATGAAGAACCTAGAATAATTACTGCTGTACTTTGTGTACCTTGCATAACCATATCAAATCCATAAAGAATTTCAGCTGTAGCAGTAATAGGTGTTGGATCCATATTAAAATCACGACCAATCATAAAATCATGAACTGATTGAAATTCTTTTCTAATTTTAATCATTTCTATATCTGTTTTTAACATATTTGAAGTTGCAAAATGGATTAAACCACCGAATTGAATCATTTGTTGTTGTACAAGTGATATTAATAGCATAGTATCATATTGTGTTTCTGCAAATAATAGTAGTGATGGTTTTGATATTTTATAACTACTCATTAAACGATCACCACGTAACCATAATTGATCTCTAATAAATTTTCTACTTGTTGCAGTTCCATGTACTCGTCCAGTTGTATCTCCTTTATTACTAATATGTAAATAATCTTTTGTAAATGAATGTGTACTATCATCATTTTTATCAACAGGCATAACAAAACTTCTAATATTAGCATATTTACGTGCATTTGCACATAAATGAAAATCTTCACCAGTATTCCATGAATATATTTTATCATGAAACATAAGTTTAACCCATTCACTTTCCATAAACCAACTTCCACCAACGACATCAACTTCAATTATTTGTCTACTTTTTGATACAGGACCATAATAATAACTTTCTGATGTAGGTGTACCTTTCGTTCCCAAAATACCTCGATATTCTTTTGTATTAATTGTATACATTGCCATTTCTAAATATCGTTTTTGCGGTATACAATCATCATCAAAAACAATGACATATTTTGTTCGACATTGTAGTGCAAGTTGAAATCTTCCAAAATATTTTAATTGCATTTCTCCCATACCAACGAATAACATTGAAGGTAATGTCATACAAAATTCTACACATTGTTCGGTACAATTAGATCTAATCTCATTATTATTGGTATTATTCATTTTACATTTATTTTCTCTACACCATTCGTTACAATAATTTGATCCATTATAGAATAATGAACGCATTTCTTTAATTTCGACATCAAGTTTATCTGCAATAGGTGAGGCAAAATGAATAATCCAAATCTCTTTTGGTGGATGTGTTTGTATAAGAAGTGCTTCAATCCATCGTCGAATTAAACCTTCACGTCTATATAATCCAATAATCGCAGTAAGTGCAAATATATCCTCATTTTTCTTTGATATATCATATTGACTAGGAATTTTAAGTATTTCATCTAGAGTCAGAGCCGGTTGTACCTTTGTTAAATTTATCATCATATTTCGTCGAATAGTATGTGATGATATATTTGTATATGAATAAACATATTGAGCAATAGAATCTTGACGAAATTTTGTCATACATTTTATATTTGGTTTATATTTCCCGGAAAAATAATTCTCAATAATAGTTGCAATTTGTTTTGATGCTGTTCCATCACCGAAAATATTTCTTTTTGATGTTTGATTCGTTATTTTAATATTTTTCAATTCATCATTCACTGCTTTTATAATATCATCATAAAAAATCCCTATTTGTTTAATTGTACCAAGATAAATTCCTTCAGGTCTTTCAGTTGTCATTCTCATTAATATAACTGGTTTTCCAATACTAACTGCTTCTTCTTGAATTCCACCTGAATCAGTCAGAATTATATCTGATTCTAATAAAACATAACCAAATATGTCGTATGATATTGGATCAACAATTTTAACATTATGTATTTTATTTAAAATTTTCAATACGACATTTTTAACATTTGGATTTGGATGAACAGGTAAAATAATTAAAATATTTTCATTATGTTCATTAGCTATGGTTTTTATAGCACGACACATATCAAATAAATATTGAAAATTTTCTCTTCGATGCATAGTAACAAGAATAACAGTTGAGCGAGTTTTATCTATTGAATTCTTTTTAAAATTATCAATTATTCTTAATATTGGATTATTTTTATTTGGATTTTCTTGTTTATAATATTGATAAAATGCATCAACACCAGTATTACCTGTTATAAATATATCTGTTTCACAAGCACCTTCTCGAATAAGTACTTCTTTAGCAAATGTTGTTGGTGCAAACATAAGTTTGGCAAATGAATCAATTATTTTTCGATTAAGTTCTTCGGGAAATGGATTTGATAAATTAAATGTTCGAAGACCTGCTTCAACATGTGCAACGGGAATTTGATGATATGAAGCAACTAAAGCAGAAACAAGTGCAGTTGTTGTATCACCTTGAACGATTAATAAATTTGGTTTAATTAGATTTATTTGTTCATTTATTTGAAAAAATATTCGATGAAATAAATCAGATAAATTTTGATTATTCATCATTAAATCTAAATCAATATCAACTGTTTGTTTAAATGCCATTAAACTTTGATGTAAAATTTCTCGATGTTGTCCAGTACTAAGAACAATAATTTGAAATTTTGAACGATAATAATCAGATTTTAATTCAGCAATTAATGGAGCACATTTTATTCCTTCTGGACGTGTACCTAATACAATAAGTATTTTCGGAAGACTTTTATTATTGATTGATATATCAAATATTTGTTTAGTTTTATAATAATTCAATTTAAATAAATGTGACCATGATGAAATATTATTATTATCATTTTTCAGCAGCATATTTGACATGATAATGCAAAGAAATAAAATAAATATCAGAATCAATGTACAAATACGTCCTATTCGTACATAACTCATATTTTAATCTAAAAACAAATTATAATAATTACTTATTATGATACATAGACTCATTCATGAACTATTTTCCCTATCCAAATACTAACTTCTCTGATCCGTA